GTTTCAACACACCTTTGTATGAACTAGAGTTGTGTTTTGTCACTGTGGACAAGAGAAATAATCTGCCCTAATCTTTGCCAGGGAGTGTTCTTATCAGTAACTGTCTGGTGACAAGACGGGCAACATTTCTTTCTTACATGCAAAATCAGTTGTTTGGGATTAAATTACACATTAAAGAGGGGGTTGGGGTACAGCATTCTGTAAATGTATACATACAATGTCCTTTAACAGTTTTGGATAATAATAATTAATATTCTTTCCTTCTTCATGTCAAGAAATCCTGGAGTCAGAACTATTGAAGAAGAATTGTTGAATGCTTTGTTCAAAGCTGAGGTGATAACTGAAGATGATAAGGCCTGCTTAGGGAAGGTAAAGGTGTAGGATTTAGTATAACCTTATTGTTGAAAACTGTATGGGATAATGTACAACTGGTTGTATTTTTTCAGGGCTGGAAAAAACACTTGAATTCCAGTTTGCCCTCAAGACAAGTATCTGTCAAATAATGCTTGCCCTGGGCAAGTCTCAGTTTTCTCTTTTGATGATTTACCGGTAGTTGGTAGACGACTTGCCTAATCCCTTGTGAGAATTATATGTTACTTGCCCACAATGAAAATCTACTTGTTTGGGATAATGGGACAGTACTTTCTTCAAGCCCTGATGTTTGGAGTTTGACTGCATGCCAAAGAACAAATAAACTGTCTTCTGGCCAGTTTTTACAAAATGAAATAAGCAACTGATTTTTATTTANTTTGATACTTAGTGTGGGAAGCCTTTTGAAGAAGATGGCCGAGAATTTATCACAATAGCAGTCAAGGGACAGAGTTTCATGTTGCATCAAATCAGGAAAATGATAGGTAAGCTCAGAAAAGTGCACACACGTTCATGAAACCTGGCACAGCTTACCTACATAAATTGGAAGTTGTGACAATCTTCTGCATTCTTTATTATCTTCCCAGGTAATGTTTGTTCTATTAAGTTACCTCTAATAATTGCATTTGTGGTGTCTTCTCTATTTCATTTAAGTTATTTATTTGAAGGTTTTTTTGTTCTTTTTGGAGATACATGAGGGAGGCCATACATCACAAAAAATGACTTAATAGGAGATCACCACCGAATAAGAAGAAGTTCTAATACATGTATCTTGACAGTGCCAAAAAGCTAACTAACCAAGTAATAAATAATCAATGTCTGTGACAAGAAATTGCTGCTCATTCTTTCTTACTTCCTAGCAATTCTTCTTTCTCTGCTTTCTTGCTTATCTGCTAATCAACGACATATTTCATGAGGGCCAGTTTTTTTTGTCTTATTCAAGGAAACTTCATTTTCTATTTACTATAGGCCTTGCTTTGGCCATTGTCCGTGGAGTCGCACCTTTGAGTACACTAGACCTGACGAGGAAGGAGAA